CATACATCAGATTTTTTTTTAACTTTATTATTAATTTAAATGCATTCTAGCAGTGCACGTTAAGACTTCCCAATGCAGTGTTAAATGTTGGCATACATTTTTTTTTATCCTTTTCCAGTCTTTTCTAAGTTCATCATATCAATGTTAAGCTTCTTAATAAGATGGCCTTATTATAATGCACATTTTGGAAATTCTTGATCACGAAATTGTGTAAAGCCCCAGCCGCTAAATTTCGTTATCTAGCCCATGAACGTTCTGTCGGATTTTGGCATATTTTTTACACTAATTAGTTTAAACTAACATTAATAATATTTTAATATTATTTTTTTATTTTTTGATAATTTCTACAATATTTTATTTAGTTTACACTAATTTCCGTAATGGAATTGCTATATATTTGCTTTATTTAATTTCATGAATTGCTTCCTTTCCTTATTTCGAATGCCTAATTATTGTGTATAATTCTAGAATTTTTTCTGCTTTACATATCCGCTTTAAAATTTAAAAAAGAGATAAATGAAGATAAGGTAATTTTCTAAATAAATAATAAAATTGTACGTTTCAGAAACACGTATAATACTTATGGTTAACCTACTTTATTTCAATTAAATCATTCAATGGTTTAACTGAAAGTTTCAGTAAAGACACGATATACGCAAATTTTTATCTCAATCAAAAGGAAATATTGATTTATTTTCATATATTATCAAATTTATGTACATGAAAATGCGTAAATGGTAACTCTAACACGTACGCGTGCATGGTAAAACCTGGAAGATCAGTGGAAGTTTCATTTGTATTTTATGCAAATTATGGCTAAAAACATTTTTCGCGGACGTTGATATTTCTGTTCCAACGCAGGCAAAAAGGCTGGCTGCATGGTTGGTTTTTGTGGTTTTCTCCAGGTGCGAAGTGAAAACGAGCCAGTTTCCCTTAGAATGTCTCCCAACATGTCATCCTTCTGCTTTTTCCTTGTCTCGTTGGCTTTTTTATAATCGAATAACCTAACTCACCTATGATAAAGGTTCCACATTTACAAAACACATATACAGTATCAATTGTAAACAAATGAAGAATAACATAAGATACTACTGCTTTCGTACAGGTGCGTAATAGACTGAATGCATGTTATGACTGAATGCTTGTTATGATGTTAGCCGATGATAAGTTACTAAAATTTATTTTATTAAGAGAAACAATTCAAAATTCTGGAATTTTCCACAGTGATACTCGTACAAGTGTTTAAAGTATTACTAAGTACAATCATGCTAGTTATGCTTCAATCTACTTAGAAAGTTAAGCACAACGCAACGCAAAGCGCATCTAAAGAGAAAGCTAACCCGGAAATACCTCCAATCTCACGCTGAACTACAACTCGCAAAAATAACAACTACTAACTAGCTAACAGAAAGTAGATGCTCTCTCTCCGACCTTATACAGTTTTCACCCGTCCGCCGAGATTTTTCTAGTACTTTGTCTCGAACTTACTGGAACTCAATACGAGGGTCAAATTACGGTTACAACTAACATAGTGGTCTAGTACATTTATTCAATTTCAATACATATATTACTGTGATACAGGGACCGGACCAAAATGTCCGCAATTGGTCGCCAAGTTTGGCGACTTTATCGATTTATTGCCAAAATGGGCGGCAAAATAAGATCCCAAAATCGTTGTCAGCTTGGCGATATCTCACAAAATTACCGAGATACCCATATTATTCAATGATAAATGCACTTGAACCTGTATTCTTATTTTTCCGGCATAGCTTCTTTGTTTAAATTTTTCATGTTACAGTACGCAGAACAATTTCACATGCAATTGCACTGAAATCATCTATCTATGCACAAAATTCGTAACAATGTTGATAAAAATGATTGGTATTTTTGCCAGTTAGGCATAAGCTGGTGACGGGAACTCGGAGGTCAAATTCACTGATCAAACACAAAATTTATTTTTTTGTTGAACAGAAGGAAGAATTAAAAAAACAACTGCTCATGAATAGTCACAAATATTAATGAACCTAACAGCTTAAGAATGACAACAGACTGAATGAAAAATATTCTACTTCTACTATTGGTTGTAATGAAAAGAACGTAGCGAGTTTCCAGTTTTTGTAATTTCCTTTGTGGTATCAATTTCTGTTAGGTTTCTTACGTTTACATTCTTTAAGGAAACAAAAGTTACGTGTAGAAATTCTGCCATGCATATCTTACATGCACTCAAATTCCATCTTTTTATGTTGTTTTTTGTATAAAACTGATTGTCGGCTACGAGATAAATCGTTTTAAGACGAATTTCGGTATCAAGTATAGTACGTCAGATTTAAGAGATCATTTAGCCCCGGCATGCTATCAACAACACCTGATATTGCATCATTAAAATACACATGAAAGAATTAGAGAAATGCATACACTGGTTTGAGAATATTTAAAATTGATATCAGCACCTTCGGCTTGTTCCCAAATTGCATTAGAACATCATACTAGAAGTATTGCAATTTATTCTGATTGGCCAATTTCGTTTTAATATAATTCATATAAAAACTTCTTCTCCGCGTGTCTTAGGCATATCAGAAAACGTGATTCGGAGGATTTTCCATCCCACGCTGCCACTAATCGTATATTGACCTTCCAGTAGAGGTCCGATGTGTATATATATATATATATTGCAAGCAGTTATCGACAAATTAGGATACAAATTGTGTCTACTGGATAACATGTCGCAAACATCGTTGTATCCTGTCTTTTGAAGTAAATTGCTTCTCTTTCTCCTTCTGTTTTTCAGTATCGATTGTCCGGAACTCTTTTTCGCCACCGATCTCAGTAACGTATAAGGGGACAAGAAATCGAATGGTTGTGCTGCGCACCTGGGACCTGCCTTAGGATCCATCGTGCCAAGTTAAGAAATAAATGAACGAAATGAAGGGAAGACCGAAGAAAAAATAAATAAAGGAGACCTCTGCCGCAGGAGAAGGGAATAATGCTCGCGTAACAATGACTGACGTAATCGATCGTACACCGGGAGATCCTTTGTGGGTGTAGTTTAAGGCACAATTGATCTGAAATTATCTAAACCCATGGATGCGGTAAATTTGATTTAAAGGAAACAAGGTTATTCAACGAGCCAAAAATTATTTCACGGATGTTAATAACAGTGAGTTTAACTTGGCGGAATATGTTCCGGTGTATGTAATTGGATATTCGATCATCACGTTCCAGAAACACGTATAATTATTATTCTTTGTTATGGTTAAACTACTTTATTTCAATTAAATCGTTCAATGGCTTGACTGAAAGTTTCAGCAAAGACTCGGTATACGAAAATTTTTATCTCAATCAGAATGAAATATTGCACTCTTTGGAGCATGATATGAAGGAATTTCTTCTTCATCACTCGATATATAATGTAACTAATGGTCCTGTAATTAGGAAAATGATTTCATCGATGGAAAAAATATGCCAAAATACGACAGAAAGGTCATATGCTAAATAGCGAAATTTCGCGGCCGGGGCTTTACACGATTTCGTGATGTGGAATTTAGAAAAGCTTTTCCAAACTGTGCATTGTAGACTTGTCTAGCATGAAGTAATGCAAATACAAATCAGAAATACAGTTATCTGGTATTTAAATAATTGAGTGTTGCGTTATACACTTAACAATTTAACAAAGTAAAGCTATTCTTTATAAGCTAGTTAAATTCTGGCAATGTAATCCACTTTATTACATGAGATTAATATTTGCGTTTAGGTGTATGATGCTATGTTTTGACACATTTATTGCACGTCCAGACATTTGTTTCATTGGATAACATGTTTATAAAGGAGAAAATATATAGTTCAAATTAAGAACTGCTCATCCTCAATGACACATAAGGTAATTTCCTGTAATTCTGGAAAACACTTTAATAACTGTACGCTTTTATTTAGTTAACTTGTGGTGGTTCACTGCGAAGGAATTTTGTCATCGGTTTTAAAATTATTTCTTGATAAACTATGGAGTTAATATTGCATTTAAACTTTGTTTGACGATGAGAATGCAGTGTGGTAAAGTTTTTTGCTTTTTTTTTTTTTTTTTTCAAATCTTTGATTAAATCTTTACTTGTTTATTACTACTTCGAGTGTCATATTTCAACAAAAATATCCATTTTGACCGCTCTCGAATCCTTTGCAACATTTACAACATGTTTCTGCATGACATCTGTACTTAACTCGAAAACAAGTGGCCGTAGTGCATTGAAATTTTGTATGGGATTGCTAAAGCATTTAATTCTGCCCCTCCCTTTTTCGTTGAATTAGACCGCACCAAACGTGCATATATCATTTTTTCTTAATACAATTCATGGTCTTAATTGAATTTCTGTTCCTTGGAGATGGTAAATGATAAACTCTTTTAATAATATATATCTTTTGCCAATCTGTTACACAGCTCCGTGAGATCAGTTTTTTATTCTTATATGTTGGTAAATTGCGCATATTTTGCTTTAAAAGTGATTGAATTACGTTTTCTTTATGTTCCGGTTAAGGTTTTTAATCCTTTAGTTAATCTGCATGCAATAGTTGTAGAATTATCAACAGTTTACATGTTGCTAAGCTTAACGAAAACGCAATCTGTTTACATTTGAAACTCTTAATAGATAAGCGAATAAAATCAGTCGTGCACCGAAAATTTTGTCTTCCTACCCTCTGGCCGAATTGCTTGCTTTGTCGTGGAAACTGTAACTTTAATTGTAAATATTGTTTAGCTATTTTTAACTGTATTTGGTATTTTATTGTTTTTCTGTATTTTGCAGTTTTTAATGAAGTTTTAGTTTGTATTTAATTTTGCCTTGTCGCGAAGTGAGAACTAAACAGAATGAATTAGAAATATATCTCTAATGAAATTCGCTGAAATAAGTTTAAACGAAGTGCAGTCAAACTAATCAGTTTACAATATGATATAAATTTTATTCAAAGATTTTAAAATACAGAATTTTATTGATTTTTTCCTTTACTTCTAGCATTAAATATACTCAGGTACGAATTTTTTGCACCAAGAATAGTCGTCTTGTTTGGGAATATATTTATTTGTGAACAGCATTTCCTCACATTTGAAAACTATTAAGAAAACCGATTGACCGATGAGCACCAATAGTCTGTGATGAAGATGCTTTCTAGCTATTTGTTTCTTTGTCTTGGATTATTATTTTTTCTAAATGTTACTATTTATTCCAATATTATTAATATTTAAACCTTTATTTATTATCAAGGTTCACTTAGAAAATTTTCACTGAATACTTAGAAAGTTTTCATATTTTGTTTATTTGAGTTTAAATTAAAGTTATCTAACGATTAATTCAAAATCTAAAACTTATTTTAAAGGAATGTGAGTCTAAAAATTTATTATAGCTGTCAGTATATTCGAATTAGGAATGTAACCAACAAAAGTGTCTTGCAAGTACCAAACGATGGATTTTTAGAAGTTAAATAAACGCAAATTTCTAATTTTTTTATTATTATACAATATTATTATTTATGTATGTTTTGAGAAATATTCATCGAGCGAGATATAGAATTTATTTAAAATATTTCTTATTTATATAAAATGTTAAAACAAAAATTCTGTCCCGTCAGCTGCTTTCAGATATGCATTCAACCGCATATAATTTGAGTTTCAGATCACTGTTCCAAAGCATGAATAGGAAAAAATGTACTAATTTTGCAGCTAAAAATGCTAGGATCATTTAAAGTGATAAAATTTACTTACAGTGAATATTAACTGGGCATGATTGAAAAGCCGAGTTTAGATAAGAGAAAGATCAGTGTTCATAAATCATTATCAGTGTTTAATAAATGCTTTCTAAACAATCATTTTTTACCAAATAATTGCACTTATATTACATTTAACACAAAGTGGACTGATAATCCGCTTTGAGGCTAAATTTATTTTCTATTTTCTCCACGCTACCCAACAAATCAATGATAGATATCCTTTAATATCATTAATGTTGACTGTGGTAAAGATATAGGTATATTCAATTCGGGTCACGAAAAGAGATAAAAATTTTCTCGCTCTTCTTAAAGGCGTACAAATAAGAGTAATGTGGGTTAATAAAGATCTAGGCAAGTGATATATTGCATAAAATTGGATTAGACTCGAATCGAATACGAAGGATTAGACGTATCGAACTATCATTCGCCTGACATATGTATGTTCGGACAGAATACAGGACTCTTAATACAAAAACGGATTACAAAATTGATTTAAAATGGATTCAGAAGAGCGTTTTTAGGCGAAATCTGTACAAAATCTTCCATAACGTATGTATCTCTCATAACTCAAAACCGACTAGCCTCAGAACGTTGAAAGTTTGAATATGGGACTGCTATAACACGTAGTTGTGCACCTCCCAGCCGAAAACTTATATTTATATATATATACGCAGCACACACACTCTGTTACTCGTCTCGGTGAGGTTAGTATTTTTTTCTAAAATGTTGTTTAATTGTGCATTTTTGCTTTAAAAGTGGTTGAATTGTTTTGAATCCAGTTAAGATTTTTACGCCTTTAATTAACCTGCAAGCAATAGTTACGTAATTATCAACAGTTTGAAAGTTGTTCAAGTGGTACTAATCCTAACGAAGCCTCTGATTGCTTACATTTGAAACTGTCGTAGTACAGTCAATTAAGTTAGTTTGTGCACCAACTTCAGTGTCTTTTTGCCGAGTGGGCCCAAAACTAAACTTTCAGTTTTTTTGCACCCAAAAATCTCTCGTGCTATCCTCAGACAGATTTTTTTTGTTTTTGCATAGAAACTCTAATTTTAATTGTAAAAAGGTTTTCGTAAAATTAACTTCTAAATGCATTTTGTACCTTGAATTGTCGTTGAGAATTAGTCATATAATTAGTCACGATGAGGTATATTACTTGAATACAAAATAATTTGAACAGTTAGATAAATTGTTAGCTAAATTGAACAGCTAGAAAACAAAATAGTTTGAACAGTTAGATAAGACTAGAAAAGTTAACTGCTTATGTAAACATTCTCTTAAGTTATTCAAATTAAAAAAGGGGCCTGGAACATGTTCCTGGAATTTTTTTAAAAGCAGAGTACAAGTTCTGAGTTCATTGTTTGTCATTTAATGCAGTTGAATGTAACTTTGAACCATAAATTGCTAATTCAGATTATATAAATTTAATTGAAAGACATCAACAGAAAAGGATACAATGTTTTCCTAAACTTTAATTATGAGACTACTTAGAGATTTGAATTTCTGAAAATATGAATTCATTTTATACGTTCTTCCTTTGTAAAGGAAAAGCCTACATTTTCCTTTCAAAGAGCTGGCATTGAATACCACAATGAAAACGATCTGTATTTGAGAGGCTGATTGGACATACATATATATATATATTTATAAGTGTGTGTGTGTTTGTGTGTGTGTGTGTGTGTGTGTGTGTATGTATGTATGTATGTATGAAGAGGAAAGGCGAGTCATTCTGAGAAAGCAAATGCAATTTACTCTCGATCAATCTTTAAGCATTTCGATTTCGCGAGATAGTATCTCCGCTATAAAACGAGACAAAAATAAAACGTTTGGCGCAATTGTAGTTTACTATTCCCCTTCTTTTTCTCCAAACCAGTTGGAATGTTCCGTTGTCTTTTTTGAGGACAGAAATCAACACACAAAAAAGTTTCGTTATTTTTAACTTTGCAGTCAAACTTTTTTTTTTCCTTAGAAAAGTCCGTAGACGCAGAATGATACAAAGGAATCATTCTTATGCATTTTTCTTTCGAAGAAGAATACTTTCGTGAACGGAATAAATTTCTATCTAATCCCTTTTCTTATGACCGAAGGGTACTAATTTTACTGTGGAGCAAATTTTCCGAAATTTAGGGAATTTTCTCAGATTTAAAAAATGCTAAACTTATGCGCAAATTTTTAATTTCCTGCATTATTCTGAGTTAAATCTAGCAGTAGATTTGTTAAAAAAAGAAAACGTTTGATTTTTCCTAACTTGAAATACGTAAAAATTGTTGAAATTAAAATTATCCTTTTATGTGTTTCACTACTGATATTGGACAATTCTTGAAAGAGAAAATACCTTATACACTACCCCTTTTAAAGAGCGACTGGGGATGAGGGGATCTAATCGTCAAATCCTGGTTGTAACGAATTATCGTCCACCACGTTTTAGTTCGAGCGTCACTGTAGAGTTATTAGTTTTTTTTTTCTTTTCTTTTAAGCAGGAGACATGAAAAATGTGCAGTTCTCTAGCCGGGATTCGAACATTGGATCTTTCGAATACGCATCGAGTATGCTTCCAGTTACCCCATAAAGACAGGCGGGAGAAGAGGGAGAAAATGCTTAGAATATACCCTTGAAAATGATAACATAAAGTCTCGGTTGACAAATTTTCGTGAAATTTTTTGCCGAAAATTTTAGATCAAGAATTTCTAGGAAATTTCATATTCATATTCTGCGACTGAAGCACAATTTTTATAATTTTATTGCATTAAAAATTAATGCTTTAATTGCTAAATAACTCGTCAAACTGCCTATGGTTGTGTTATAAATGTCTCTATAAAAAGGTCAAAATTACACCTAGTTACATGAGTAGTTCGTTTCTCTTTAATGTTACACTTGACTGTCAAAGGCAAGTGTTTGAATGCAGTTTTTCCCAGGAAGGGGCTATGGAGACGCTCTGACGCCAGCACGTTCTTTTTCATTCAGATACGGAATGTCTTTCTTGATAGAGATAACAGGATATAGCGGGGAACTCATGCTGTGGCGCAAGCAACGAAGTGACATCTATAATTTTATGCACTTATGTAGTTAGGTATCTGTAATCGTAAGTAAATCGTCCTTAAAGTATGAAATGCCATAATCATTATATATTGATGAAGCATGCCTCTCATTTAATTCAGAATTTAAAAAGCTAGGAATTTGAACGACCAGGCTATCGGATAGATATGTATGCCACATCCAGTTATTTTATATGAACCTCGATGACCTGAGTTAGTTAAAATTCATAGAGCTTACCAGATCAAACAGATTGGTCTCTAGTCGTAAGAACAGCTATTTGTTAGCTTACTGATGTGTATTAAAGTAAATATACCATTATATTAAGGACTTAACAGTGTAAAATCTTGTGGGAGCTGTAGAAAACGATAAATTACTACCATACAGCAAATCTAGACCATCCGTGGGCCATATGTGACTTCTGCAGCAATTTTATGCAGCCTGCGGGTATATTTTAGTTATGTATTCGTTCAAAATATGCTAAACGTTTCATGATGGAATAGGTGATTGAAGGTCATATAAGGTCATTGAAGCAATAATTAAATAAATTTATCCGCTGACAACGTGCTTTGCGCTGCTTAGAAAAACTTAAAATGAGTATCGATCACATTTTGATTAGTAAATGAAATAAAATATTTAATGACAGAAAAATAAATACAGCCAGCGATGAGTGGTATAATAATCTTTATATATATAAGCGGCTTAAATGTGTGTCGCCGATAGTTTATTGTTGCCACTCGGAAAAGTAAGCGCGGAAATTAACGTTTCCGCAGTTTTTAATTAATATCCCATCCGATTAAAGTCGTACGAAGATGAGAATGCTATCGATGGATTCGAAGAACTTTTTGGAATCCGAGGATACGCGTCTCGAATTTTAACTCGGCGCCGCTCCGTAGATATTCGAGAGAAAAGACTTTGACACGTAGCCAAATCTCTAATAGGGAAAACCCAAGAAAGAAAGTGGAAAATGTAGGGAAAACGTAGGGGGAAAATTAGTTTTAAAAGTCTCACGAAGACGCGAATGGTCAAAATGGCGTGCCATGGACCTGCGGAATCCAATGGTGTGCTTCCAACGGTATGACAAGAATTTGAAAAAAAAAAAAGATGAATTAATTGAATGGTTTGTAACCCAATTTTAAGTCTTTTCATTATTATACAAGATATTTACGTTAATTAGTTAGTTATTTTATGTGTCAAATCTTTAATCTCAGTTCTACCTTTCCGTTTTCCTACCAGAATGTAAATTTAGCTCGAATGTAACTGAGGCTGCTGTCGAAGATGCTTTTAAGGCGCTCTTTCCGAGAGATACTAATTTAAATTAAAATT